TTAAAAAAGTGTATTGTGATTTAAATATTTCTAAAAAAATTTACGATTTTTGTGTAAAGAATGCTAAGATATATTTTTGCTATAAGACCTAAAAATCTTATAGATTTTTCTCCGTGTTCCGATCTCATCAGCTGGGGCGGGTGGCTAACCAATTGCCTCCTCCTCCCCCTGAAAGAAAATGCTGCTCATCTGCAGAAAATCTTGAAAATATTTATCAATCTGTCACGGCTCGAAAGCACAGCCGCGGAGGATCTTTTGAGCGGGCAGCTGTCCATTTAGGGAAAACGAGTTGCGAGTGGGAAAAGGTGTGGCAAGAACCACCACCACCCTTCGGGGAAATTGCTTATTGCGCACTTAAGGGGCTGTCGGAGATCCCGTTTCAAGGACCTATCCCGAGGCTCGCCAACGCCACCCCGTGAGGCGGGACGGGGCAAAGAACCGGCTGCTTCTTTCACTGCCGGCGGATAAAGAGGTCCTCCTCCTTCGTTCCACCCCATACCACCCAAACCGAGCTCGAAAGGAACCCAACTACCTCTTGACAGTCCCCTGGGAATTTTCACTGCGCAAAGGACGCAAAAAACTAGAAGGAGGGAAGACAGACAACGCAGCTGCGCCTGCTAATGAACAATTTAACAATCTTTTGGTTACTTTCCAGCCTTTGCTGCTGCGCAGTTTGGGAATCAGAGGTGGAAATAAAAAAAAACTTGCCAGCTGGCTTGGGACTTCAGCTTTGATGAGCTTTGTGAGTGAGCGGAACTAATTTCCATTGTATCGAAAAGCGAGGGGAATACGAGTATATCTATCTCACAGCACTCCCTTCCATTTTCGGCCTATCTCCAAAACTATCTTAATCTCAGCATAAACACTGATACATCATCATCGAGGCATAAACTTCAATACAAGTTCGCTGCCTAAGTCTTTCGTTTGGCAGCTCTCGGCATAAATTATGTCTATTTTGGGAGTCAAAACGATGAAAAACGGAGGATTACACACGCTTTTAAAGACTCCCACTAGAAGGAGAATACGGCTGGCTACCATTTGCCACTTGGCATAAAATTAACTGTTCATCCAAATAAAAATTAAACTATTAAATGCGATGGTAGAGCGGAGAAATGTGCTTGGGCCGCCTAAACGATTAACATACACAAGAAGCTGGCCAAGAGGCGCACACAAAAACACAAAAAACACACACGACGGCCCCCAAAAACCGAAGCGTTTCAATATATGTATAAAGCTGATCAATAAAATATAACAATCATGCGATCAAAAATCTTTCACAAAATACTTGGGCCCCCATTCACCTGTAAAAGTGTGGGAAACCATAGAAATAAGAGAGCGCGCCAAAAGCCAAAGAGCCCAAAAAGAAAACGTTGAAAATTCAAATTAGCCCGAGACTCGTAAATAAAAGATATTATAGCCAATCGGGCAATAAAACCAGTTAATCTCTAAATGTGCCGAGCTCAGTCGCAGTCCCAATCCCAGTCCCTGTCTCTTTCCTCAGCTCTATCTCATCGCCAGTTTCGATCTGAGGAAGCCACTCGACTCCATCCAAGCTCATCAAAGTGGTTCGGCCTACATCTGGGACTTTGACTTGGGGTCCGGGGTTTTACGATCTGCAACCTGCCCGGCCATGGGCAAAATCAGTTAGACTCCGAGGCGGGTGTAGGATTCTCCTCTGTGGCTCTCGGAGATTCCCCTGCCAGATTCCAGATTCCAGATTCCTCAGCTCCTGCCTCTTCTGCCTGATCATCTTCTTGGCAATCAAATCAATTTTATGCCGCTGTTGCATTTTTTATGGCATTTCTAACACACAAACCACACGATAGCCCCATTCACTCATTCATACACTCGCTCACTCGCTCGTTCATTGATGATCGGAGGACCGCAGACCGGAAGCGAGTTACTACTTTTAAGGGGGGCTAGAAGGCGGCTGCGGGGGGACCGAGCGATTACCAACAACTTAAAGCTCGGCCACAAAATGTTGCATTCGGATTGGGTTATTAAGCCATTTAAGCGACGTGAGAAAATGCTGACAACGATTGGAAAAACTAAGTTGAAGTACACGCAAAGGAAAATCACGAACTTACAATTTAACCGCACCTATAAGTTAGGTAACTTTATAAAGTAGTGAAGAAATACCTCCAATAAAGAGCCCTATACAAACATCCCTATTTTCTTAGCAGAGATTTTACTTTTATCCATTTACTCTACATTGAAGGTATAAAATGTAAATTTTTAAGGACATTTTGGGAGGAAAACTTATCTGGTTCGAACCGAAATTGCTTATAAACCCATGTCAGAATGTAAAGAAAATGTTATTTCTTTTTTATAACTTTAATTAAAGAAAATAACCCTTTTTTTGCTTAAAAAATACAAGGCAGTAGGTAGCCTTTAATATGTAAAATGGAATGAAAACAGACTGATTTCAAAAAAGAGGTTGGAATATATTTGGGTTGTCAGGAAAAAATCTAAAAAACCTAAGACCTAACCCTTACCTAAATTGATCATAAACTTATGTAAATTTATTAAATTTCTACTTATGATGTTATTATAGATCTTTGCCAAATCTACCGAGTATTTATAGGCCAACATTAATTTTTCCCGCGTGTAACTGTGGGAAACTAGGAGAAGAGAGAGGCAACATTGGTAGAATCACTATGATTTAATGACTACACTAAACATTTATCGGTGCCAGCCCAACTAACAACAAAATCAATTAAACAAACGCAGACTATCCCTATCAAGGGCCATATGCTCACAGAACCCAGAATTGGCTTCTGTCTACGCCTTCCAGCCATGTCGTTAAACTTTGTTTAAACTTTTTTAAGACTAATCCCAGGCGACCTTCCCACTTCCACAGACTCGAGACTCAAGAGATTTTCATTAAGACAAAACTTTTGTGAATGAAATGGAGTCGCACCCGCAAGCCGCCTACTTCCCTCACCTCAGCAGAAAACTAAAGGTTAACTCATCTCATCCCATCGCTGTAGGTAAATCATTCGAAATTTGTCTTCCAAGTGAGATCTTGGCCAAGATTTCGGGGCGTGCGCGTGATTTAAGCTCATGTTGGTAGCTAAACCCAAAAACAACTACAGAAAAACCTCCAAAACAACTCCAACAATAGCAACTCGTGTGTTGGAGGAAGTGCAAAGTGCCGTGATAAGATCTCAGAGTTGTGCCAAAAAAAAAAACTTTAGAAAAATGAGCAGCAAGAAAGGCTTAATTGCTTTAAAAAACCGAACAGACGGGACAGGTTATGATAGATCGCAAGACATGCTTATAGAGAGGGGCGGAAGTTGGGAAAAAATTGAAATGCTTTTGAGCATACTTTTGGTTTGAAGCGAAGAAGCTATTTTATTGATTTCTTTTAGGATACCTGAGTACTAATGAAGCCACAATAAATAGTAAATCATCCATTGAATCCATAATCGTTTGATTGAGTTTAATTTGCCATCATCAGTGGCATCATCAATCACACCATGTGAGGCGAGGAAACTTTCCCATAGAGCTTTATATTTCGGGGACAAAAAGAGGGGATTCCCTTCGAATTAAGCGAAATATATTTGCTATAAGATTTGATCCAGTTTTTAAAGGTTAGAATGTGATTAATTAATTCTTTTATTTTGTGAATATTATAAGAAAAGTTTCTCTCTGCAAAGATAAAAATGTGATATATATGATATCTTCACTCTAAATAATGTTAGTTTTCTTCTAACTGTTTTGCTCGGTTTCTCAACGGAATTATTATTTATTTTCCTGATTAAAATTCAAACAGCTGTTCGGCTTAAATCACGGTCCCCTTGTCTTCCAAGAGAGATTCTCCTGAGTGCGCTTATCCGTGGGAATCTCAGAGGTGAGAAACCGAGCATTCGCATGCAAATTAGATTTTTTAATTGGCGCATAAGCGGCGACATCTCCGTCTGACCCCCAGAATAACGCCCAACTAAAATATCTGGCCCGATCTGGGCCTTTTCCAGATCTCCTCTGATCTCCTGCCGTTGGCGTCACCTCAAGGTGCCGAGATGTCATTCGCTTTTATGGTTATTGCGCCGGCAGCTGCTGCATTCTGCTGTGTGTTGCTGCTGCCACTATTCTGTTGCTGTTGCTACTATTATGTTGCTGCTGTTGCATCGCGAGTTGCTGCTGCAAATGCAAATTGCGACTGGCATTGGTCGCTCTGCTTGGGATGTTGGCGTTTTTGCGTGCTTAATTGAAAATTGTGTTTGGGCGCTTCTAATGAATGGGAAAGTCAAAGACGACAACGCACTGGTGGAATGCACAGAGAAAAATGTATAAGAAAGAATTTCTATCCACAAGTTTAAAATAATATTCACATTCAATGACTTATCGGCCAAACTATTATTATTGTAAATATTAAAATGTATTATATCTTTTTAAAGAGAGAATTTCAAAGTTCGTTTCCATACTTCGTTCTCGGACGTTAAGAAAGATAATATACAAAGCTGCTAATGAGCTAGTTGAGTAAGTTTTGATTTTTGATTAAGAGATTTGGAGAATGTCTATGAAATATTTATATATGATGGTTTCGATTTTAGCTAATCCAGGTTTACAGGGAATACTGAAAAGTATCGATCATAATTTGTGCAAATTAAACTGCCTTTTTTGAGACGAACAATTTTTATTATTCCCGTAACACGTTGAGTAAAAGGGTATACTAAATTCTTCGGAAAGTATATAACAAGTAGAAGGAAGCGTTTTCCACCCCATGAAGGATATCATTCTTGATCAGGATCACTAGCCGAGTCGATCTAGCCATGTCCGCCTGTCCGCATGAACGCTGAGATCTCTGAAACCATAAGAGCTAGAGTGTTGGGACTTGGCATGTAGATTTTTGGGCTTCCCGTGCACCTACATTTTTAAATATTTTGTAACAATTTAAATGACTTTGTTCTTATTATCATACCAAAAATGATTGCGTTTTCTCTCGTTTTATTAGTAGTCATGTTATGTTATAAATTGTAAGAAACCTATCTAGTACCCTTCAAAAATATTTCATTTCAACTAACCAACACCAACCCTCAAAATTTCAGTTTTTTGGCATAAATTATGTATCCGTACAAAATTGTCGTTCTATTATTGGCTGTTTTTAAGGTAAAAAATGTAAACGTTTTGACCATTTAGAAAATATTCTTTTCTTCAGCTCAACTGTATTTGTTTGGGTGATGTTGTGACAGCGGAATCTGTTTGGAAAGAGCACAATAGATATAGAAAAATGAATGATATGCCAAAATTATCCTTGTCTAAAAAGCTGTGTAAAGATTGCGAAGATTATGCAAAGGTAAGCAAAATACTCAATTTTTTTGCGAACTTAATAATCTTTTCTCAAAGCATCTAGCTACATTGAATGTCCCAGACCAATATTTATTCGAGGACATCCCAGATGATGATGAGGATGATTTTATGGATCCTGTTCCAAAAGCCAAGTTCAAGGATCACACAGATTATATCTTATCGGATGAAAAGAATATCCATTATACAGAAAATATATGCGAGTTTAAATCTCAATCTTGTGTTAGCAATTGGTATTCTTATGGCAGTGGTGCTTATGAATCAGAAGAGCCAGGAGAAAAGGAATCAAAAAAATCACTTGTTGATAAGTACACTGCACTTATATGGAGGTCGTCAAAGGAAATGGGAGTGGGTATAGCTCCAAAAAACCCCGCGTAAGTACTGATTTATGCCCAATGTCTCCGAATCAACTAATTTATTAACAGGGCTAAAAACGGAAGGAAAATAATGGTCGTTAGGTATTCTCCACCCGGCAATGTGCGTGGCAAGTATAAAGAAAACGTACCAGCGCCTGAGGTTTACGATGATACTAAAGTCGAAAGTACGACTACTTCAAAAGCATGCGGAAAGAAATCCTATATATTTGCTGTTTTACTTAGTTTCCAAACACTTACACATTGGTTTCCATAAGTATTTAAAATGCTAAATATATTATATATGTATATGGTTATATATGTATTTTGTATTCGGTGGAAATTGTTGTTAAATTGGACAAAATGCAAAGCACTGTCTCTTGCTTAAAGTTGGTTAGCTGGGTAAACGCCTACAAACGACCATAACACTAAAACCCGTCCTATAAGGACTAAAAAAACATGCCCACATTTTTTTAATATTTTCTACAAATTTAAATAAGGTTTTGTTCTTATTATAATACCAATAAACATTATTGAAAACGGATAACTCATTTAAAGTTATAAACGAATAATAATAAAAGTTTTGCAAACTCAATCAAGATTGAACACCACACCCAAAAAAAAAATCGCCCTTAAATCAAGAAATTCGCCTTTAAATCAAGAAAATCGCCTATGATTTTCATCCAACGGCGACTCACCTTTATTTTAAATAAATAATTTTCTTGAATTTATGGTTTGCCATTTCTGGAAATAATGACAAATTTTTCTTAAATGTATGGTAAAAAACCTTAAAATTAAGGAAAAATTTATTAAAATAAGAAAAAAAATATTTATAATGTAAGATTACATTACATTTTACACTTTACATTAGAGGAATTTGGTTGGTTTTGTATACCAATTTTGGATTTTAAATGGATAAAACCGTTTCTAATTTTAATGGCAATTATTACATGGGAATACCAGTCTGAAAATTTTTACATTTACCTGAATTTATTAAAGATTTATTTCATATAAATACTTTTTATAAACATATAAATAAATATAACAAATGGAAAAATCCTTACCTCAGACAACCCCGGAGTGAACTCGAACACGCAACTGCTCACACCATAGCCAGACGTCTTAACCATTCGGCCACGCGTGCTTCTTGTCATACAATGACTAAACATGGCTAAGGTGTTTTTGGTCCAGCTTTACGCATACCAATAACGTTTATTCTAATCTAAACCTTTTTAACAACCGTTTAAACAATTTGGTAAATAGAAAAGTGAAACTAATAAGAATAAAAATTACATCAATTAAAAAAAAAAATAATAATAAACAAAGGGTACACTTGCCGTGGTGTGGGCTCGAACCAGGTACTTTTGTTCGATTGTTTATTGACCGGACGTCTTTACCAGCTAGACCACCATCAAAATGTATAAAAAAAAGTAACTTTTTCTTAAAATATGGGTATTTCTTTCCTAAATTTAAGTAAGAATTTACCATTATTTCAAGAAAAAAAATCAAGAAAAATTCGCCATTAGTTTAAGAAAAAAATGCGGTTCTTCCTCTTCTTCTTTACAAAAAAAAAATAAATTATGGCGAATTCCTTAAATTGTTGACATTTTTTCTATAATCAAGAAAATATTTCTTAATTCAATGGCGTTTTGAAATCACGGGCGATTTTCTAATATTTATGGTGATTTTTTTTTTGAGTGCACATGCAGCAAATCAGCTGTGTTTCCTAATACGCCACCACGCCGCTAGGGGCGCTATATGCTATGTGGCGCTATAGGCTAGTGTGTTAGTGAAAAAATCAGATTTAGTGCAAGCATGTCTCCATCCCTCTTGCACTCCCTTAAGCTAGTCTAGGCCATCGACTATTCGTTTTCCCTTGTTAGAGTATTACATTTGTCAAATCAACTTTTAGACCTCCAGCTTTCCCCCTCCGTGCCTCCCATTGCGATCAATTTCTCGTTAATTCTCATTCCGAAAAAAAGAAATCCGACTCACTGGATGGGCGAAAGAGCAGAAAGGAGCAGCAGGAGTCCAAAGAAAACTTCCGCCCGAGGGAAGGTTCGAGTTCCTCTATGTTTCCTCTGCCGCAGGCCACAAGAACACAAGATCTCGCCGAGATCTTGACTGGGCCGCCTTTTGTGCGCGAAGACGTTAGGCGGAGATTTCCCGCCAAAAAAGTTACGGGGGTTGCACAACGGGATTTGAGATCCCGGATGGTCGGTGGTGGTGGGTTGCGATCGGGTGGGTCGGCGGTGGTGGGTTGGTGGTGGCGGCGGTGCTGCTGGGGTGGCGCAAGGACAACAATAAGGAGGCTGAAGCCTGAGAGGGCGAAAATAACGACGATGACTGGGCCAAACCGTGGGAAGATTTCCAGCACAAAGGCGACGGAATCTCGCTGCGAAATTCCCTCGCAGCTGCACTCAAATCGCATTGAAATCGAAAAACAGATCTGAAGCGAGAACTTTTACCTTGATTGCCGTTTTGAGGGGTTTTTATTTATTTTATTTCATTTTCGGCGTAGGCATATGCGACACTGAAATGTACTTAGCGTACTATGGTACTTACTTTTACACGTACAGCCAAAAACTCTTAATAATGCAACTGTTATGTTTCGAGAAAAAGGTTCGACTCAAAGATACCCGCTTATGAAATTTTCAAAAAATTGCATTGCCTTATAAGTCCTTTCTGGAACGAAATAAAAATATTATTTTATTTAATAACATTGGTCTAAAACAATAGATAGTTTAAAACTCTGTTTATTCTATTTAATAACTCAAGCATATGCATTCCATGAACAAATTTGTTTTATAGATTAAAAATTGAATTTCAAAACCTGGCAAATATATCTATTCAAAGTGTAGAACAATCAATATTAAAAACCCGTTAAAATACACTTCAAATATTCATATGCTTTTAGATATACACCAATATTTAAATTTACAAATTTATGTCTGAACCAAGGAACATTGCAACCATTACGTTATGTTTATAAATAGGCACCTAAAGCACATTAACTTTATTATAGCTTGCTAATAGAGGCTTATCCAAACGTATGATATTTCTCCTAACAACAGCTTACATTGGTTTTTGGAAAATAATACGCCCTGTTGGTCCCCAAATACCGGGTGTATTAAAAATGTCGCCAGCCCGACGAACGACTTAATCAACAAATCAGCATTGTCAATCTGGGGATTGTGTTGGCTGCCGACTTGCCACCCCCCTCCCCCCTCGTGACACCTTCCCTGCGGATATATCTCGCTGATCTCCGATCGCCGATCTCCGATCACTTAGCCTACACCATTTTGGTTTCGTTTCCTTTGTCGCCGTCTCGTTTCAATAACTCACAGATACATCTGCATATCGGCATGTACATATATAATACCCATGGCATATGGCATATAACTTATAGCCGAACACCTACGTTCGGTGGCTTTTGGCTCTTTGCAGTGCTTCTCTTTTCAAAAGACCAACGAATTTTGTACGAATCGCGTAAACGCGTTTTTTTCCCTGCCCACAATCACACACACACACGCAGGCCGGGTTCCTGGTGTGGGTTGAGTATCTGTGTGAGTGCGCCACTATTCGTTCATTCACAAATTGTGTTGTTGCTGCCTTGGCATGCTTTTGCTGTTTTTTTTTGTTTTTTCCCAATTCGGTTTTGTTTTGTAAACACACACAGACACACGCACACACCTGGACGGAGGCGCACACACGGATACACTTACACCTCGGCAGCTGCGTTACACACACATACGCACCTTGGGCAAAGAGAGCGCTCGCTCTCTCGCGTTGAATCGAATGCATCGGCATTTCAAGTTCAGGTATCGTATCCGTATCTGTGAAGTTGTTTTGCCGGCATATCATTTCTCACGAGAGCAAAGAGCGAGAGAAAGAGAGAGAGCGGTAGGTGTATCTGTGTGAGTACAAGACTCAGAGGTGAGAGAGTTTATCCGTGGATTTTATCCGGACCTTCAATGCGGCTCAAAATCTTTCGACTGAGATTTTCTTTTAATGCAATTGGGCTTAAAAGGAATTTAGATTATTGAGTGTGTAAAAAACAAAAAATAAATCATGTTTTACACTAATTATGAGCTTACAACCTTAAAGGTACTTTTTGATTCAAAGAGCTATATATTTTTGTCTATGCCAAATACATAAACAAGTAAAGGCTTAGGCTCCTTACTTTCAATATTTATACCCGTTACTCGTAGAGTAAAAGGGTATACTAGATTCGTCGGAAAGTATGTAACAGGCAGAAGGAAGCGTTTCCGACCCCATAAAGTATATATATTCTTGATCAGGATCACTAGCCGAGTCGATCTAGCCATGTCCGTCTGTCCGTCTGTCCGTCTGTCCGTCTGTCCGTCTGTCCGTCTGTCCGTCTGTCCGTCTGTCCGTCTGTCCGTATGAACGCTGAGATCTCGGAAACTATGAGAGTTACAATACTGGGATTAGGCACGCAGATTCCTGAGATTCCTGCGCAGCGCAAGTTTGTTTCAGTAGAGTGCCACGCCCACTCTAACGCCCACAAACCGCCCAAAACTGTGGCTCCTACAGTTTTGATGCTAGAATAAAAATTTTAATTGAAATGTATTGTTCTCATCAATACCTATCGATTGACCCAAAAAAATGTTTGCCACGCCCACTCTAACGCCCATAAACCGCCCACAAACTTCAAAAAATCGTAAGTATGAACGCAGATATCTCGGAAACTATCAAAGATAGAGAATTGGGATTTCAGATTTAGATTCCGTAGCCTTGTACGCAGCGCAAGTTTATTACGCGAATATGCCACGCCCACCCTAACGCCCACAAATCGCGAAAAACTGTGGCGCCCACAGTTTTGATGCTAGACATACAAATTTAACTGAAATGTATTGTTCTCATCAATACCTATCGATTGACTTAAAAAAAAGTTTGCCACGCCCATTTAAACGCCCACAAACCGCGAAAACCTGTGACGCCCACAATTTGCATGCTAGATAAAAAATTTTAACTGAAATGTATTGGTGTCGTCAATACCTATCGATTGATCCAAAAATAAATTTGCCACGCCCACTCTAACGCCCATAACGCTTAAATCTGTCTACCGCCGGTAGGTGGCGAATTTTAATTTCGCTTTGCTGCTTGCATATCTCCATTTCCCTTTGCGTAACGGGTATCTGATAGTCGAGGTACTCGACTATAGCGTTCTTCCTTGTTTTATATTCAATATTTTATGAACAATTGAACAATACACTCTTTCTTTAACAATCCTATAACTTTGTAAAATCCTTTAATGGTTATATACTTAAACTTATAAGTATTTGAAGTATTT